AGAATCAAAAGTGAATTTTTGTTCTCTTGCTTATCGGTTCAATGTATTCAGCTTAAACTATCCTGAGAAAATTGAATTGATTCAGCCTTAGGCTTTTTGACCATCTGTACTTAGCCCCTGAGTTCAAACGTACAGCGTCAAAGTTCTATGCAGACAACATGCATGTGTCATGCTTATTGTTTCAATATGCCTTTTGCATGTGATAGCTTGTTCTTTTTTGGCTGTAGAAATGCAGTGATGCTATATATGGATGAAAAGGTTCACTTGAAAATACTTTGGAGCAGGAAGTGTCATCCATTATTAATGTTTAAACAGTACTCAGCACAACCCATTTCTGTATTACAAATACAGAATAAGAATCATAGGTACACATATTTGCATGATTAGCTCTATATTTGCAAATATGGGAACAAAGCCTGTCCATCTTACTTACTGTATATCTACAGTAATAAGCACTGCACTATAGTTATTGAGAGGCATTGACTTCCCTGAGTGCAGTGCCATATATAGTTATGAGCTGTATGTTAGTATTGCAATATTAATTGGTAAACATATCTATAGGATGATAACACCATAGGCGATAAAAACCCTCTCAACTTTTGAAAGGTCTTGGTTTTCCACAAATCAATCTATCTTTTCTCATGTGCCATCTACCCCAGGGAATTTCTCTCTTCTCTAATTTCACAACCCTACAGGCTGTTTTTAGTCCTTATTGTGCCTGCCTTTTCCTCAGATCTGAAGACTGCACTGCATTTGAAAGCTTGTCTAAATCTATCTCAACTGTACAGTTGGTCCAATAAAATGCAATAAAAGATATTCTCCCTCACATTTCCTGGACCATCACAGCTACATCATTCTAATATTAGCAAAACATATATATGTACACGTGGGAGAGCGCGCGCGCGCGCGCACACACACACTTCCCAGTTGATATTGCAATTCACATTCAGTTGCAATAAACTATCCAAAAGGCTACTGTTCACTGCTTCTGAACTGATCTGAATTTGCTATTTATGCAATGAATATGGAGAAGGATTTTTTTTGGTGGGGTAGAAGACGAGCAAGAGTACCTTCTCTTTAAGTATACTACTTCCTCTTGTGTGCTTGACCTATTTGGTATTCTGGGAACACCAGAGGCCTGCTCATATCTCCTTTAAGTTCTTGGGAGAAAGTTTGGGCTCATAATTATAGGCTAATAAAAAGGAGGACATTGCAGATGATGATTCTTCTTCCCTATAGAGGAGAATGAAGCAAAGACATATTATCCTTTAGATGTTTATGATATGGCCACAATTATGCTGCAATGAAAAGCACTGATTATTAGTTATTATTATTAATTATATGTTATATAGTATTCATTGTTATTATTATACAACAATGCAGTGTGCAGTGTTAATGGTGCAGTGCACAGTGTTAATTGAAAATTGGCTCCTGAAGATAATTATCCTAATGAAGGATACAGAAGATACTATGCCATTTCTTTCAGAACGCAACAATTCAGCGAGAGCAAGGATGGCAGAATCTGACTTTTAGTGCCTGGCACAAAACAGTAGTGTAAAACTAAAGCCCCAATCCTGCAGTGCTTCATGAATGTTCTTTATTTCACCTACTGCAAATAGAATCCCATTAAAATCAATAGAATGACTCATCGTGTGTGAAATTAAGCACATGAGTAGATGTTTGTAGCATTGGGTATAAATAATGGTTTCCATCTGATTCCTAATTAACTCTTGTACTTGGGTATGGCCACACTTACACTAGAGATTTCTCATACCCTTCCCTAGATACATGAGTAGAATTGTAGATGGAATAAAGAAATGGCAACATGTTTTATTTCTTATGTTTATACCTGTCTGTGCATTTAACATGCATCTATTTCTGTGATTAAAATACTTATTCTTGAACACTGATTATCTACAACAGGGAAATAATTTATCATCTTTTGTTAAAAAAAGAAAATCCCAGATCTGAAAGACTGCTGATAATGCGTAAGAACAATCTGAGCTGTAAGATGCAAAACAATAAAAGACAATAGTCAAAAGTACAAATGAAAGAAGCAGAAATATAGGCATTAGGAAAGTGGACAGATAATAGAAGAAAATAACTAAAAAAGCAATCCTTGCAATTGGTGCTATTGTGGTAGTGCCTAAAATCAACAATCACAAATTAAGCAACAGGTAGGACAGGGTGGTGCCTAGAAGCTAACGGATTTAGAGGACCATGAGTTTTTGTAGGCAACAAACTCTTTTTCTGATGGCAAATTAGAGTTCTATTGTAAGCACCCTTATAAGCATCTCTTTGCTGAGGAGTCTGTAATTGCACACGGAGGGCTGTGTAGGGAGAGAAACAGTTCTTCAAGTGCCCTGAAGTGCCCAAAAAGTCAACTCCTGCCCACAGGAGCTTGCAATCTAAAGTTTGAGTTAGATCTAAACTAAGGCAATCCAAGGGCCTCTAGAGTAAAGTGGCTTCTTAAGTCTATGCAAAGTATCCCAAAACAAAACTCTACTCCATAAAGGGAGTAGAAACCTGAGAGTTCACGGTACTTAGAATATGTTCTTATCAGTTTAATCGCTGATACATCCTGGATGTGAGGACTGAGGGACTAGATTTTTGGTGCCACGAGAGGCCTGGGAGCTTGCTCCAGCAGCTTCATGCACAGGCTTGGTATCAGTACCCAAACCTGTTAGCCTCTAAGCGAAGTGGCCCCATCCTACTGTCTGCCTAATGTGTCTGTTGCTTTTAACATCATAGAGAAGTAGGGTTGGAAGGGATCTCCACAGGTCATCTAATCCAACCCCCTGTCTGAGGCAGGATCTTCCCTATCCAAACCATCCCACCCAAACCATAATCTAAACTGGGGTGGGCAATTATTTTGACTGAAGGGCCACTTAATGAGTTTTGGTGAGCTGTTGAGGGCCACACACAAAATCTTTCAGAAGATATAATTTTAACAAAGTATAAAAAACAAATCATATACTAAAAATCAAGTATCTATTATAACATATTTTAGTTTTATATCAAAAAATAATTTTTGTCCAGACCTGTGTTTTGTTGAATAGCATAGATAGAGGTGATTGCATAATAACACTAAATTAAGTCTTACTCTTGTCTACTGTGTTTGGGGGCAGGTGTGGTGTGTCTGTTGTGTTAGCAGCTCCCCCACTTGCACCAGGGAGCTGGCCAGGGGAGGGTGGGAGGGCAAGGGACGGGTGCAGCAGAGCTTGCCTGGGCGGTGCTGGTGTGGCCTGCCCCCTCCCCCCTATCCAGCCCATGGCTACTCCAATGGCACTCTGCATGGGGCTGAGTCCCACCTGCACCACGCTCCTGCTGACCCCAGCTCTGACCAATATACACAGCTTCCCAGCAGGGCTGCAGCTGCCTGGGTACTGCTTGGCTCCAGTGGCTCCTCCTCCTCCTGCCCTTGCTGTACTGCACTAGGCAGCAGGCAGTGTGGGGAAGCCATAGGGATATGGCACCACATGCCCAGCTAGGTTGGGGTGGGGGAAAAGCTGTAGCTGAGCAGCCCCTGCCCCAGCATGCAAGGCTCTAGCTCCAGCTTCTGGCTGCCTTCCACCCACTTTGCCCACCTGGCACAATGAGCAGCCACTTGCAGGCAGCCAAGCGGGTAGAAGGCAGTCAGGAGCTAGAGCCCCCACAATGCACAGAAAAGTGTTGAGGTAGGAGCCGCCTGCTGCATCTTCCCCACAGCCTGGCCCAGCATCTGCTGCCTGGCACATATCCCCATGGCTTCCCTGTGTTACCCACTGCCTGGAGTGGCACAGCAGGAGCAAGAGAAGCCACTGGAGAGGGGAGGGGAGTAGCTGAGCAGTTCCCAGGTGCCTGCAGCCTCACTGGGAGCACCCACTCTGAGAAGCTGTGTGTTAGTCAGGGCTGGGGTGGATGGGTGTGGCACAGGCTGCCTTAGCTGGAAATGTGTGTTGCTTGGCCCCATGCAGAGCATTGTGGGCCACATACATACAATCAATTGGCAGGTGCCTGCCTGTGGGAGGCTGGATCCAGGCAGTAGGCTGTATTTTGCCCACCCCTGATCTAACCTCTATATAAAGCTACTGTCAACCTTCACAAAGCCAACCTAAGGCACTGACCTGCCACAAGGTAAAGCAGGGGAAACACGGTGGCAGCTGGTGTCCTGCTTTTTTGAAATTGTGTCAAAATAGACTCAGGAGATCCCAGGAAGGGGGGGCCATGCCCTACTACACAGGAAGGCTAACCCCCCCCCCCAGTCCCAACCAATCTGACCACAGAGCAACTCCTTTCTGACCCCAACCCTGGCACTTGGTCTGGCCAGGGGTGGGGCAGCAAGACCCTCTAGCCAGGGATTTCTGGGTTTGGTCCCAGAAACACTGGCATGCTCCAAAGAACCTTGTCTGCCTATGTCCTTAGACCAACACGGCTACAACCCACACCACTTAAAAGCACCTTGACTCGTGCAGCACAAAGAGGTGGTAGGTCGGCAGGGAGCAAGCAGCAAAGCCCAGGAGCAGGGGGAATCCCCATGGGGTAGCATCAGTACCCAGGCCACTGGCTGCCCAGCCTCTTCTTGACCCCTTCCAGTGAGAGCCAGGCCACCACAGCCCTTGAGGCACTACCACAGCTGTGCCCCTTGGCCTTGACCTAGGCCGCCGGCAGGGGAGTGACAGAGAAGCCGGCTGGAAGCGACCCCCCAGAAACACCTCGTCCAGCGGTTCCCAAGCTGTAGGGAGGCAACGTGAGCGGGTGGGGTGAGAGCGAGGACTCACGCTGACGAAAAGAGGCCGTCGACGGGGTCATGCTGAGGAAAAGTTTGGGAAGGAAGCCCTGTCTGCCTGCGTCTTCCTCCCCCAGCTCCAGCGCGCAGGACACGCCTCGGCCCTACCCCGGCTTCTCCCAAGGCGGCGCTGCACGTGGGAACGCCAGAAGATGGCGGCTGGCGGGGGGGGCGGTGCCTGCAGCGCCGGCTCCGGGCTCCTCCCCTCTCCGCCCTCGTCCCCCGCCTCCTCCTCCCCGGGGAGGGGGGTGGCGGTGGCGGACTGCCCGGGCTGAGCCGGACTCGTGCGCTGTGTCTCGGCAGGAGTGCGGGAAGATGGCCGGGGCTGAAGCGGGCGTGAGCGGCGCCGGCATCCAGCAGCAGCAGCACTCGGCGGTGGCGGCCGCCGCGGCGGGGCCCGGGGACGAGTCGTCGGACAGCGAGGGGGAGCACGAGGGGCCGCAGAAACTCATCCGCAAAGTGTCCACGTCGGGTCAGATCCGCACCAAGGTACGAGCCGGCCGCGTCCCCCCGCCAGCTGTTGCGCGCACATCTGTGCTCGGGTCCCGGGGCGGGGAGGGCTGCAGCGGGGCCGGGCAGCGCCCTGGCTGCCCCGCGGGGCGAGTGACAGGACATGGCCAGTCCTTCCTTCCAGCTCCCACTTCCTCCCGCCGGGAAGCGCCGCCGCCCGCGCACAATAGCTGGGCAGCGCCCCCTCCCCCCGCGCCGACACCCCGAGGCTCCGGGCATCCCGCAGCCCGCGGAGGGGCTCGTAGCTGCCCTTGGGCCGCGCGGCAGGCAGGGGCAGCCCCGCGTGAGCCGGTCCTGCGGGAGAGCCGCGCAGCCAGAAGTTGCTCCCTTAGTTTTTGATTCTTGCATCTCTTTGCCGAGGAGACTGGGCTTGCACACTGAGGGCTGCGCAGGGAGAGAAACAGCTCTGCGAGTGCCCTGAAAACTCCTGTAAAGGGGAGTGCGTGTGCATGACAGTGTGCGAAGGGGGCACAGTGCCCGGGTGGAGGGCATGCACCCGTGGGAAGGGTGCAGGTGTGCGGATGTGGAGGGTGTGCATGTGTGTGAAAGGCGCAGTATGCGAGTGCACCTGGGTGAAGGGTGTGCATATGCATATGTGAAGGGTGTACACGTGTGTGAAGGGTGCAGAGTGGATGTGTGTGAAGGGTGTAGTATGTGCATCTGGGTGAAGGGTGTGCATATGCGTGGGTGAAGGGTGCAGAGTGCATGTGCATGGAACGTGTGTGTGTCCATGTGAAGGGTGCAGTATGTGAGTGTGCACCTGGGGGAGGGTGCAGAGTGTGGGTGCAAGTGTATGTGGGTGAAGGGTGTAACTTGTAGGTCCGTGTGTCAGTGAAGGGTGCGGTGTGCGTGGCATACATTGGTGAAGGGTACAGGGTGTGCATGTGAAGGTGTGTATGAGGGGTGCAGGAGTGGGCAGGTTGGTGTGTAGAACTAAATCTTCCAAAGTACTAAAAAAAAGATGTTTCTTTAAAATAATGTTTTTGCTTAACTTATTTTGCAGCTTTGCTTCCATTTTGGGTAAAATAAACTGACTACCAATGTAACTAAGTTCACAAAACAGGAAGGATTAGCTTTATCCCTTACAGTTCACAATAATGTGCAAACCAGGCTATAAATAAAGCTCCACTTCATTAAAAGTGATAAGTCTTTTTGTTAAAGACAAGATCTGTATTTAAAAAATTCACTAGCACTTTATTTTATAACTCATAATGCATTATTTAAAAGTAGCTATATTTAGAAAGACAACTCCCATTTAGTTTAAGGTGTTGTATGTTTGCTATTGTAGCGGCTGGTGATCAGTGGTTACATGAAACCAACAGAGCAGAGAACATCAGGGAACTGCTCTTTTCACCAGACTAGTCCCTTTTAATTTGAATTAGATTTGTTAAGCATCACTTAGTGAATGTGTTTGTAGGGTAAGGTTCTAATTAAATGGACTTGGGTTTGTTTTACGGCTAAGAATAGACTTTTGAAGGAAACCAAGGCACATATATAATGTTTATCCTTGAAGTTTGTAAGGCATTATAACTTAACACTGTGCTATTCTTCTCCAGTGGTTGTTTACACAGACACTTGAAACATTTCTGCAACTTGGTATTGGTATTAATTCCTTGGCTTAGCACTGTCTTTGAAAGCTTCTGTTAGTAATTCTTCTTATTTTAGTTTAGGACTGTTTAATTTTTTTTGATGTCTTGGTACAGTTGATCATTGGTTAAAATTACTATATGATTATCCTTTGCAGACTGAGTGATGATTTGGTATTGAGTTTTTTAATGTGTACATCATGAGCTTTATTGAGTGCATGTAGGACTGCCTAGCTTGTTGCTTTCATGAACATGCATTTAGCATTTCTAAAACTGGCAGTGCTCATAGAGAACAGCAAAACTTCATTTTCTTCTCCTAAATTAAAAAGAGAGTTTTTGACCAAGAAAAGAAGAAATGGGAAAATAAAAGAAAGCATTACATATGAAGATTTGTTTAGATGGAATATTCAGCACTACTTTTCCATGCATCTGTTATGCATTGCTATTCAACTGAGACTTCTGCAGTATTATTTGTCAAAGTCCAATTTTGCCATCCACATTTACTTGAGCTGTAACTTTCTCCACAAAATAAAGTTCTGTTCATTTCAGTAAGCTGTTACTCAAAATGTGTAATGGTATTAGGATCAGACTTGAAACTTCATTATTAACTTTATTTGTGTGCACCCATGCTGTCTGCCCAGTGCTTTGGGAAAATATCTTTGTCCAAGTAGGACTAATACCCATATTTGGATTATTGTCTTAAACTCTTTTCAACGCACCTTAACCTACTTTCCAGACAACCTGGATGCCTGTAAATTTGTGCTGTTTCAAGAAGAGGTGGGAAAGAGTAAGTTTCTAAGCTGAGGACTGAAACTATCTTTTGGGAAAGTACCCTTTGGGATTAAATCTGGGAGGTATTCACTTAAGCCCCTTTGCTGTTTCCTGTGCAACAGTTGCTGAGGGAGAGGTAATTGTTAAGGTTACCAGGACTCAAGATTTCATAGGTTTTTATGGGTTAAATGGACATCTTTAAACTTTCCCCAGGAAGATGTTATATGCTATGGAGTATAGACACTATATACTAATATAGCTAAATAAACATTTTACAATAACCTACATCAAGTGAAGTTCATGGCATTTAGTTGAAATTCCGAGTGGAGGGCATTGCAGTAAACCTGAATCTACCTGAATTCATCTGAACATGAATTGTACCCCTTTTCTCCTCATCTTTCCGAGTCCAGAACACTGTCAGAGGAGATAGTCACTAAGATGCAAGATGAATGAAGCTTTCATGTAGGGGCCATGAGGAAACAGTAGTCGGGCTACGCTGTTCTATAGGAGTAGTCCAGAGACCAAATTCTGCCCCTATGTACGCTATGTTATTTCATCCCCTTTTAAGACGATGGTCAAAAATGTCTCAAAAGCAGACCATGTTGGTACCTTTTTAAATGAAATGGATAACTTTATTTTAACTTGGCTGTTCGGCTTTGCAGCAGCTGGGAGCTGCATGCTGCACAGGCCACTCTATATGGGTCCCTTGCCACACCACTGGTGGCCCCCTGCTGAGCTGTGCTGTGGGCACCAACCCATAGCTGCACCACACTACCTGGATGCCCCTGTGCTATGCAGGGGCTCTGGGCTTCATGGGCCCAGTGACCACCCTAGCCCCAGGGACAGGAACAGGAAACAAAAGCTGGGGGGGAGGCTGGAAAGCCAGGAGACAGCATCCTGTGGAGTACTGGGGGGAGTGGTGCTGTGTACGAGCCTGGGGGCTGTAAATTAACCTTTTGGGACCTGCCAGTTGGCAGCTCTGTGGTCTCCAAAGTCTGTCTATCGTCAGTTTGGTTCTGGTCACTATAAAAAATATTCCCTATAATGAAGACCACACTTCAAAAACAATATCTTGTTTCCACTCTGTTGAAACTGAATCCTATCTGGGGAGGGAAGGTTTTAGATTAGAGCCGACAATAGATTGTCTTGGGGACAATTGCTAGAATAGTAAGTGAAATGGTCCCTGGGCACTTGGTGGTAGATTAGATAGCTAAGTGTAGTTACAGTTCCTGCTCTTCACTAACAAGTGGATTTCAAGAATAGCACTTCCAGAGCTGACCTTACTTCAGTGGATCTGTGCTCAGTTAATGGGAGTACTCTCCTTGCTCCTCAGATCTGTGTTTTATTTTGGAATGAAGTGAATGCTCTAGTGGAAAATAAGTTAGGGAATGCAGAGAAATTATTAATTATTGAACATTTAGAAGTATAAACAGACCTGCAACTTGTCCTGTGCAGAGTGTTTTCTGAAGTCTGGGTATGTTTTAGTTGGTAGAGATGATGGATACAGCAGGGTTGTTTAATTTACAGCGAGTTGATTTCCCCCCCCAAGTTTGGATGTGTTTTTGAGATGTCAGAAATCATAGGGCAAAAAAAGTAAAATAATTTAATTGCCACCAAATAATTATAGTCTTCACTGAGTTACACCATTTAGGAAATTGCACTTTGAAAAGCTTTCTAAACTCTTCCACATGGTAAAGCTTAATAGGGACAAGTCTCATTGGTCACTTCCTGTTTGTTTCTGGTATGCATTTCTTTCTGCATTTCATGCTACTGCATTAGACTTCAGTGAAGATCATTTTCTACCATGTAATCTGCTTTATCTTAGGTTTCCTATTTAATAGTTTCAAACATTGATAACCATTCAGCAGTTGTATGTTTTAGAAAATATAACTGTTCCAAAATCTATCGAGAATATTAAGGCAAAAAATCCAACTTGAACTCTGTTTCTTGTATGCATCTCTTAGGATCTTCTAAAGTTGCCCAATTGCACAGATTCTCAAGTGCAATATATAATTTATAGTTTATTTTACAGCTGTAGTAATCTGCATAAAATCTCTAGTATAGTCTATCAGCATGTGTATATATATACCATGGGCAAAATTGAAGTTATAAAGTATGCAGTGCTCTTCCTTAATTTTTTTTGCATCTGATAGCACCTAAAGGCAATAGGTTAAGATCTCTAGAAAAGCCATTGCCTCAGCTCATCTGTATGTGTGTGTGGTGTACTATTTTCCCCACAGAGCAGAGTTAGTTACACAATTAGTTGCACTGCAGGGCAGGCAGTGCTTATCAAATGTTTCACAAGCTTGTTGAGAGCTTCTGCAAAATCAGTTGCAAATTACCATAGTTTTCAATACAATGTATAGGGTAGGATAGCATTTTAGAGGCTAATTAGTTGAGAGGGATATGAACATTTGTAGGCAACCACCTACTTTGTCAGATACATTTCTGTCAGACTGCATCTGACAAAGTAGGTTTTTATCTTTAAAAAAAAAAAAAAAAAAGCTCATGCCTATCTGAACCGTTTAGTCTGTAAGGTGTAACCCTGCCCTACCTATTGCCTGACTTTAGACTAACATGGATAAACCACCTGTTCGCTCATCGTTTTCAGTGGAACCTTTA